ACACAAATCTCTATACCACAAATGCTTAAAAAATGAGCCAATTATGCATTGTGAAATGCTGACTATGACCAAGATACTGGACCACATAAGCACATGGGGGCGTTCAAGTCCAATCCTGGAACCAATCGTCCCAGTAAACACTGTGTCTGCAATAACAGAAGCACTGATCACATTTACCTCTTTCTTTTGCACCAACTGACAAAACAGTAACTATGATGATTTCATTAGAAATGCACAGCTCTGATATACTAGTTTGGTATTCGCACCAATGCTGACCTTATTAAAGAGACTGGGTATCGGCTGGACATCACCAACGCATATTTGAAACTGTTTCTAAGCCATGGTGGTTATAAAATAGCTTATGAAAGATACCAAGGCATCAGCCCACATTTTGAGGCAGGGCTAAACGAACATCTCATTGCGATTGTTCTGACCAAGATTGTGGTTATGATTTAAACGGTGAATGTCTTCTATAAACTGACGTATGAACCTTTTTTGGCTAAGACCACCAGTGTATACTTTTTTTGGCTTGAGGTGTGAACACTTAACACAGTGCACCAGCATGCCAGTTATTTGTGGTTGTGATGTCACAGCACACGGATGTTTGGCTGCCTCTGATTCATCGAAAAGGAGCTCATAGGTTCCATGTAATTAGGTTAAATTTCCCAACTTAAACCTTGCAATGTATCAACACTCACACAGACAGTTTTTCAAGGGTTCTTTAGCAAATAGAATGGTTCTATGTACAACCATGAACACTCAAAGAACCCTTTGCATGGTGCAACGGTTCCTCATATTGGTGTTCTATATAGCACCAAAAAGGGTTCTTTTATTGTTACAAGCTTGACATTGTAAATATAGAAGAACGCTTTCTGGTGCTACACAGAACATTTTTCAAAGGTCCTATATAGAACCATATACAGCAAATCCTCCATCAATCTGAAGAACCATTTGACCGTGCAAAGAACACTTTAATCATGCAAAGCGTTCTTTGAGTGTCCATGGTTCTATACAGAACCATTTTCTTTACTGAAGAACTCGAAGAACCATCTTTAAGAGCATTGTTGATAATAAACTATAAGACTATGATTAAAAATTGCAGCTCTTGCTATTTGAAAAATTTGCTTTCGATATATAAAAACCATGAATCGTTCAGCCCACACTGAGGTCACTGGAATCTCTATTGGGAGAAAAAAAGCAGGATCAGTGCATCCCTACTCGGCTCAGCGAAGATGACATGCAAACCGCCTTTCAGATCATTTAGGGAGAAGAACTGTTAGACTGTCAGACAGTGGCACTTACAGAAATGACCCAGAACTCTCATGAGGGACCCGAAGAAACACACCCAGCCCGAGCCAGGAGACGGGGCAGTTTTAATCAACTGAGACAAAGTTCCCTGGAGCTCTTTTACGCTCACAAATCCAAAAGAGCTAATGATCCAATTAGTGCACTACTCACATATGCTTGACCACTCTGACACAGGGAAGTCCCTGATCTCAGACGGACACAAAGCATTTTTACATGATACATGATATGTCACAATTAGAGCTGAACGATTTTGGAAAAAATATCTAATTGCAATGATTCTGACTAACACTGCGAGTGTGATTTCAGTTGCGATTATTTTCTATAGATGAAGGTCTTGGCCTTTTTTTTGGCCAATAAGACCAGAATATCCACTTTTTCTGGCGTGAGGCTTGACCCCTGAATGTCGTGTGCCAATAATCTGTGGCTGTTATGTCACAACACATGGAGGTGTAATTGGATCTGATTGGTCTAACTCATCCACAGGCAGCTCACAAGCTCTGTGTTATTAGGTTAAATTTCCCCACCTTAACACAACATTGTTGATAATGTAGACGATAATAAAACAGCTCTTGCGATTTGAAAATTGTACTTTCAATTAAGCGATTAATCTTTCAGCCCTAGTCACGATATTTATTTTTTTCAGACATCTGACCAAAAGAAAAAGAACCAGCACATTTTGATGTCCTAGTGCCAGTACACCAGCTACATTTTAAAAAAACACTATCATTAAACCACAAATGCAATTATATTTAATATTTGGTAAACTGTGTTTCACATGACCAGCTACATTAAGGGGGCACTATATCTGCATAACGAAGTAGCTGGTACCAAAAGAGAGTAGAGTCAAGCACACTGTTAGAAATAAAGGTTCTGTGCAGGTACATTTTTCATTCATCAAGGTACAAACAATGTAAATGTTCCCTCAAAGGTACAACAGTGGTTTTAAGTTCCAGTTGTGAACCTGTGCAGTTTTTCCAGATGAAAAGTATGTATTTGTACCTTTTCATAACTTAATGTTTTAAAACAGAACAATAAAATAAAAAGCCTGGCGACGAGACGGGGTGTGTGGAGTCAATACGACTTAGAAAATATAATTTCAATGGACTCTGGTACAATTATGTTCCCTGACTAAAGGTACTGAAACGTACCCTTGAGGGTCCCACCTCAGTGACAGTTTACTACCTTTTTGTGTCGAGTTGAGACAAACCATGCAGTGGAAAAGCAGCTCTACACCTCAACCACCTTGCCCAGCTAACATACAGTGAAAGAGTGATTTTAGGCATATTAAGCAAAAACAGGTTGGTAACAATTTATCTGGACTAACAAACCTTTACCTGACTGATGGTTCTTCAAGGGTTCTTTAGTAAAGAAAATGGTACTACATAGATCCATGAACACTCAAAGAACCCTATACATAAATGTGCTATAGAGAGTTGTATATAGGACATTTTCGAATACGGTTCTAAGTAGCATTTGACACTGTAACAATAGAAGAACTTTTGGGTGCTATACAGAACCATTTCCAAAAAGGCGGTATATAGAACCATCCAAAGCACATTCTCCATCAGTCTGAAGAACCATTTCATCATGCAAAGAACCTGTCTTTCATCATGAAAGGATTCTTTGCATCACGCAAGGGTTCTATGCATCATTAAAGGGTTCCTTAGATCATAAATGGGTTCTTTAGATTGATGGAAAATATGCATGAATATGCTGTAGACAGTTCTATATAGAACCTATTTGAAAAGTGTTCTACATAGCACTCAAAAGGTTTCTCCTATTGCTACAAGCTAGACATTGTAACAACAAAAGAACTTTTTTGGGTGCTATATAGAACCATTTTCAGCACATTCTCCGAAGACCCCTTTAATGATGCAAAGAACCATTTACTCATGCGCAGGGGTCTTGAGCTTTCATAGTTCTATACTAAAGAACCCTTGAAGAACCACATTTTTAAGAGTGTACCTCACCAGCACTATCAAGCTTCCCCCTAACCAGGGTCTTGGTCTGAAAGCCTGCAGTTGGATGTCGCTGCCCTCAGGCTTGACAGACAGGGGCAGAAGAAGGTTAAGAGAGACGGCACAGACAGCTTCCGTCAACTCAGGGGGCTTAAAGCTGGGTCAGATTCCTTCTGAGGCTAAAATCAGCCACACAATGGCGAAGTCAGACTGGTAAAACATGAATAAGGCGAAACCATGACTTCTCCATTAATGGACATGTTATGCAGTTGCACTGAAAGCAGCAATAACTAATGTCATTATTTTTTATTTCGCTTTTCGCACAACAGTGAAGAGACATTTTAGCTTCTACTTTTGCTATTTCCTTAAAGGAGAGCCAAGTAAGATCCAGAATACCAACACTGCTGTTATGTACAGTTTAAATGTGAGCAACAGTGTTTGGTTTAATTACACGGTGTTAAAAGTCAGTGTTTTGCTTCACACATTGTCCTCACAGCATCCATCACTACAACCAACAACTTTAGAGAACATAGTTTATGTCCACCTTTTTGGTTTATACATTAACAACCGACAGTAAATAACCAAAGTGATGGGACTGATTTGAAAAGATTTTCCATCCACACAAACTGATAAAGTTACCAACAAAAAGAAAGACCTTCAGTCTTATAAAATACATTACAGGGCTTCTAACTGCAGTCTTGGAACGAGCGTCCTTTTGAAATTATATCTCTAAAAAAAGACATTTGTGATGGTTATTAATAAACAAGAGCCAACAACAAACCCACACAAGCATAGATTATTTGCCATTTCTTGATCCTTCAAGTAGAGGTGGGCGATGAATCCCGTTTAACTGGATTTAGGGCAACACAATACCAAGTACTGAATAAAAATTATGCTCATCACAGTTTTTGATAGTATTTTTATGTAGCACTACTTGCTCTTTTTTCTCTTCAACTGATCAGATGTCATAGATAGTGTGACACACTGTGGGTCATGAAAATTTCTTCAAGTATCACTACAGTATATCTGCGCCATATCACCCACCTCTATGTTTACACTAGTTAAGACTGACTGGCTAAAAAAGCAGCGAACGTAAAGTAGGAACTCCACCGACTTTTCAAAATCCCTGCATAACTAAACGTTTAAGAGGCAGATAGTCGTTCAGAGTGGTTTGGCGTGAAATACTTCGTTCTAGAGAAACTTGCCGAGTCAGAATTGTTCACAGTGGTGGTGATAAGAACCAGACGTCCACCTCTAAAAGCTCCCTCACAGAAAGTTATTACATGAAATGGTTATAACACACTGTCTGATGTTTGAGACACTGTTTTATGACAGTTTTGAGAACCTAAAATCCATTCATGGTGGAGGGACACATGCAGTGCTTCGTGAGGCAAAATAGTCCCCAAAGAAAACTAAATATTTTTAAGTTTATCAGTACTTTATCATCACCAACGTTCCACATAAAACTCAGAAGACACGTGTAGGGTCACCGGTGGTTTTGGATAATAAATAAAATGGCTATATTTGTGTTGTAGTCGTGGTTCCGATCACCATCACTGTAAAGAAATCTGAGTCTCTAGAAATGAGCCATTTCACCCCAGACTTTGTTTACGTCTCAGCCATGGAATGATTGAGGAATTTTCAAAATGTGGTGGAATTCCCCTTTAAACGGCTAACTTAGCTTAACTAGCTGGCTAACGCTGAACGTAAGAGGTATATTTTTAAAAATGTTACCTTTAATCGGCCTTTCGACAGTAGATTGTTTGTTCTGGTCCTTCGCCGACATCCTTTAATGAAGTCTCTTTTCTTCTCTCACAGAAAAACGAATTCCTTCGCGTAGCTAACCACCTAGCTAATGGAGTTAGCTAGCTAGCTAGCTACGGCTCCGCTGTTTGTGACCGGAGGCTCCGTGTGAAGCAGGCAGACAAACCGCGGGCTGGATCTGGATCACAAGCCGGTGGTGGGCGCAGAGGGACAGAGGGGGAATGTAGGGGGAAAGGGGGGAGACCGCTGCAGTGTCTGGAGTTTTATTTTGCGCCGTCTGTGTCCGCAGTTTTAGCGGAGCGACCTCCGGGCTGCTGCTGCTGCTCTTTGCGGAGGGAGGGAGGGAGGAGGATGAAGCACTCCGAGCAGGAAACGCGCCGAAAACGCAAAAAAACAGTCCGGCTGGAGCCGCTTCTGTGCCCCTGCTCTGTCTCCACCTGCGGCCCGGAGTGACGGAGTGTCTCCTGCTGTTTTTAGTGCATGTGCGAGCCCCGGCTGCGCTGCGCTGTGCGGTTTATCTCCGTCTCTCTCTCTCCGCCGCGGCGCACGGATTAAAACTCTAATCCACCAGCAGCATTTCCTACAACATGGCGAGGCGGGAGGGACGCAGGGGATTGTGGGAGATGTAGTTCAAACTGTCAAAAAGCGTATTTCACAACAAAATCGAAACAAAATTCTCCCAAATCTTGACACTTTTTTGAAAACCTACCATTTTTCGTAGTAGAATTGGGTGGCCAGCTAAGAGCCAGAGATTTAACATAAAAGAATATAATAACATATCCTTACTGTGTTAAAATGACACACATTGTGATGTGTTGTTTTTGTCTCTGCACCTCACTAAATCTGTCCATCAATTTCACATGAATACAATATTACATCAATACAAATATTATTGATAACATGTATTTTAGTCATCCGTGAGGAAATGATGTGTTTTAATCAAGTAACTTAAAAGCAACCATTTTTCAGTGCACAATGTTAACAATAATAAAAACATTTCATACAGACAGGCCATTAGGCTGCGTTCACTACAGATTACACGAGTCTAATGGTTAGAATGTTGTAGGAACCTGCTACACATGCATGTATTCAACTGTGTAAAGAAATTAGCGTGATAGATGATTATACCTGACTATTTTTTGATAGTTAACTCATCTAACCATCAAATATCCTACTTCATAATATACCTCATAAAGCAGCACTGCTGACCCAGTGCACATTCACTCCCTGTTTAATGAGTAAATTAGCTAATCATAGCATGATACGCTAATCATTAAACGTAGCATCATCAGACTCTCAGAACTGGCAACTACCAAAAGCAAAATTTTATTATAAAGCACAATTGATGTTTTAGTAATGATGCCTGACTGTTTCACTTTGCATAACTGGGATGGCCAGAAGGGCAGCCATGCTGCATTACAGGGTTGCACTGCTCCACCCTCCGGCAAACCCTTGGCTTGGCTTCTGACAGGAACATCTTTTGCCATGAAATATGTGGTAACATCATCAACCTGCTACTAAAGCTCTCACTGTATAAAATCATTTTTATCATTCAATACATGTTGTCTCATTTATTTAGTCTCTTTCTTTCTTTATTACTATTGTTATTTCATTAAAATTCTTATCATAATTACTATCATTAATTCTACATTTGCTTTTTAGTTCTACAAAGAATGTTCAGCTTTGAAGTTTATATGCTTTGGCAACATTGTTCCTAAGATAGCCATGCCAATAAAGCTACTTTGAATTTGAATTTTAGAAATAGTGGGAGAAAACAGAAAACAGGGGTGGACAAAGTACAGCTTTTCTAAAAAAAGTTTTAAAAGTTAAAGTACAGTGAGTTGTTATAGATTTTAATATTACTAGGGAAATTTGGGTGGTACGATTTGAAGCGGTTAATTGTGGACTAGTTTTTTCTGTTGATAGCAATCACAAATATAGCCATTTTATTTAATATCAAAAACCACCAGTGAACCTACATGTGTCTTCTGAGTAAAATAGGGGTACACATAAGCTTTCTTTGGGAATTATTTTGCCATACAACAGCCTACCTCTCTACCATGAATGGATTTTTTTAAGAAAAGGGCCAAAATCCTATCATAATACAAAGTCTCAGACATCAGACAGTAAATTCATAACCATTTCATGTAATAACTTTCTGTGAGGGAGCTTTTAGAGGTGGACGTCTGGTTCTTATCACCACCACTGTGAACAATTCTGACTTAGTAAGTTTCTCTAGAACAGAGCATTTCACGTCAAACTATACTGACTCTGACTACATCTTAACCATTTATTTATGCAGAACATCTTTAAAAACAATGGTGGAATTCCCCTTTAAACAGAACTGTGTGGCTGCAGACATGAAAAAACATGAAAAACAGGTCTCCTTAATAGAACTTGCTCATTATAAATTCTTACTTTTTAATACTTCACAACAAAATCATGTACATTTGTATTTTTACCCAAGCAGAAATACAGAATATTAAAAATTAGAACATGAATGGCCTCCATGGAAAAATTACTTTCATTGAATAAAGAATTTAACAATGTAATTTCTTTGTTTACACATTGTTGTTATGTCTCAGATATGCTGATGTTCTCTAGTCATGCCACTCCACCCACCAGCACATAACAGTAACCTAAATCGGCCTGTTTCAATACCGGATTTAATTAGCCCTCCTCCACTTGGCCTCATCTTTTCCCCTCTGATTCAATCTTAAGGGCAGGTCCATTACTTTATTAGCTCAAGTGAAGCTGAGCCCTCAGAGGGGCAAGGAACCCACCCCAGATAGCAAGCATATATCGGTCTGCTGGCTTGATATGGTTCACACCCCACTACTTTTGGTCCACCTTCTGATCACTAAATTACTGTCCTACATACAAGGACTAACTAGTTTTTAATCTCCTCAAACAGATTTTAAATGCGCACAGACTTTTATTTTGGAAAATAAACTAAGAACAATATTATAAAAAAAACTGGGCCTAATATAAAATTATTGTGCTGAAATGTTGCTGACACTGTACTACATTAAATTATTTACTGAACTAATTTACAAAGGAAAAAGAAAGAAAGAAATTAAGGAAAAATAAGTAAATTGGACTGTGAGTGGAAGATGAATTCTGAAACGTGGCTTTTGCCTTAAACCCTTAAACACCAAACAACACAGTTGCCTTATAAGATTATAAGCCATAGCATTAAACTTCAGTTAATGTACTCTTTATTAACATTTAATTTGCTGGGCTTTATGTTGCAAAATACATACATATGACTGCTGATTTAACCTCATCACATTGCTAACTTGCTAGTTAGCAAGCTAAAGGCTACAAGGCTAACAACCAGAGAACTTGCAGAGATATAAACCGCTCTGTAACAATATCCAAAAAAAGTAATTATACCAAAGTTTACAGCCAAACAAATTTAAAGTATTGAAACGGCACCAGAGTTTCCCAGCTCTGCCCTGTACATTTTTGCATTCTCTGTGATCTAAAACCCAGTTCAAGGCAGTAAGGTGATGTTAATGAGCTGATTGAGTATGTTGGGAGCACAGGAATGCAAAAATGTGCAAGGCAGGGGAACTTCAGGACCAGGATTAGTATCTCGTCAAGAGAAATCATCTTAAATCTAGTTGATATACAACCTCACTTCCAAAAAAGTTGGGACGCTGTGCAGAATGTAAATAAAAATAGAATGCAATGATATGCAAATCATGTAAACCAAGGAAAATACTAAAAAAAACAACAAATCAAATGTTGAAACTGGGAAATTTTATTTTTTTTGAAAAATATATGCACATTTCGAATTTGATGCCAACCACTTCCAAAAAAGTTGGGACAGGGGCATGTTTACCACTGTGTTTCATCACCTTTTCTTTTTACAACACTCTGTAAGTGTAAGGGAACTGAGGAGACAGACTGCTGTAGTTTTCAAGTGAAATGTTTTCCATTTTTGTTTGATGTAGGATTAAAGCTGCTCAACAGTTCGGGGTATCTTTTGTCATATTTTTCATTTTCGGTGACAGATCTGGACTGCAAACAGACTCTTTTAATATGGAGCCATGCTGTTGTAATATGTGCAGAATCTGGTTTGGCTTTGTCTTGCTGAAATAATCAAGGCCTTCCCTGAAAAAGACGTCATCTGAATGGCAGCATATGTTGCCAAAACATGTATATATCGTTCAGCATTAATGGTGCCTTCACAGATGTGCACATGTGCACAAATGCCCCCCTATACCATCATGAATACTGGCTTTTAAACTGTGCACTGATAACAAGCTGAGTGTCTTTAGCCTTGAGGACACAGTGTCCATGATTTCCAAAAAAATTTTTTGTGGGACCACTGGACACTTTTCCACTTTCCAGTCTGTTTTAAATGAGCTCAGGCCCACAGAAGGCGGTGGCATTTCTGGATCCTGTTTATATATGGCTTCTTCTTTGTGTTTTAGAGTTTTAACTTGCATTTGTGGATGAAGCGATTGATTGTTTTCACAGACTGTGGTTTTCAGAAGTGTTTCTGAGCCCATGCAATGATTTTCACTACAGAATCATGCCTGTTTTTAATGCCGTGCCTCCTGAGGGCCCAAAGATCATGGCCAGCAAATGCAGTTTTTGGCCTTGTCCCTTGCATACAGAGATTTCTCCAGATTCACAGAGTGGTGAACCCCTTCTCATCTTTACTTCTGAAAGACTCTCTCATTTATACTGACTTGTTGCCAATTAACCACTAGGTGTTTTTTTTAGCATCACACTACTTTACCAGCCTTTTGTTGCCCCCGTCCCAACTTTTTTGGAACATGTTGCTGCCATCAAATTCAAAATGTGCATATATTTTTCAAAAAACAATGAAATTTCTCAGTTTCAACTTTTGATTTGTTGTCTTTATACTATTTTCAATGAAATATAGGGTTTAAATGATTTACACATCATTGCATTTTGTTTCTATTTACACTTTGCACAGCGTCCCAACTTTTTTGTAAATCGGGTGTAATTCAATTCAGTTCAAGGTGCTTTAATGGCATGACAAATAATGCTACATTTGTATTGCCAAAGCAACAGATTACAGTGTTTGAGATTTTTAAACAGAAAATCAATGATTTGAGAGGTGAACATATTAGAGCCTAGGAAAACAAATAACTGTTGACCTTAAAATATGAAATATTAAAAAAGCAAAAAACAAACCAAGAACTACATATATATATATATATATATATATTATATATACACACACATACATACGAATGTATATGTATGTGTATATGCATGTATGTGTGTGTATGTTATATATATATACACACATATGTATATATATATATATATATATATATACTATATATATATATATATATATATATATACAGGGTAATTTATTTATAATATGCTTTATTTCACTTGTAAACCATTACAAACCATTGCATTACAATTCATCCCATACTCGATTGAGCATGTCGGGTGTCACTGTACTCACGGCTCTTTCAATGCGATTTCGGGGATCGCCCGGTGTTGTGGAACCAATGACGAATGCTCTGAGCTGTTGGAGGTTCATACACATATACACACACACACATACACACAC